ACTGACATAAATCAGTATCTTTTCTACAACATGTAAAATAATAAAGCTTGCAGTTAAAAAAAACTAAGGAAAATATAATTAGTGCCCAAGAGCAGCTGAGGCAAATAGTAAAGGGGAAATGGGAGTTCATTCACATGACACAATTTTGGTGCTTAATTTCAGCAGATAAATTATCCAGCGTGTCTCCCCAGGGTTCTTCTCTGGTTGAGAAGGAGAAGAGAGTCCATCAGAGCTGAACTAACGCCTCCCCCGGAGCAAGTTTACTCTCCCTATTGTGGAGGGAGTCCAGAGAGGCTGTCGGCTCACTCAGCCTGTGTCTTTTAGTCTTTTAAGTTGAGTGGCGTGAATAGTCTTCAAAATGCCTTTGGGTTTCCCTTTACCCGAAGATTAAGGGAATGCTCCTTTTCATTCTCAACCACAGGAATTAAACAATAAGATCAAAATCTTGTAATCTCCTTGGGAATTCCTTTTAGCTGTATGGGATCTAAAATGCTGGGTTTCCCCTAAATTGCTGGGCAAATTAAGACAGAAGCTAATCATAAAGCTGGCTTTCGATGCAAACATTTCCAATGTTTGACATGGTACCATTTGTTTGGAATTGCCTACGCAACAAATATCTTGATTGTTTTTAATACCTATGCACAAGTTTAAATGTCATTAAGCTGGTTCCTTATTGAGCTTATGGTCTGTTTACAGGAAGATTAAGAGAACTCAGCACCAAAGTAAACTCTATTGATCTTCATTTAAAAAATGAGATGCAGATTTTAAATTTGCAACTGCATCTCCCCTGTCAGAAAATAATCTACGACAATTTCCTAATAGCAGCTAGAACACCAAAAGGAAAATAATTTCCAACCTTTGAGTGTGCTTGTTCTTCTAAGAAACAATCTGGATTTGCAGAGATGCAGACAGGCACTTTGAATATGAGGGAAAAACAGTTTGTGGGTGAAGTTCAGGCTACAATGGGGTTTGTTTTGCGGGCAGGAGGTTTCTTACAGTAGCAGTGTCACAAACTGAAATTGCTTACAACTTCCCCTGCCTTTCCAACTTTGATGTTTTGTTCCCCTATACATGATTTTAGTTGTGTATATCCCGCATCTCGTTGTGGCCATCAGTCAGAGAGGAGAATGTTGGGTCTTTACTGTACCACTCACACTACTGCCTTCACTGTGGGAACTGTCATTGCAACAAAAGGTCTGAAGGATGGAAAGGAAACGTGCAGTCATTCTGTCCAGTTATGAAGATTGCCATGAATGCAAATTATCTCTAGCTTTTATAGAAAGCATTTTCTGCTGAACACCAATAGTGCCTTCAATAATGAAAGGCATATCCAGTTATTCGCATGGGAAAGCTGGTGTAAGGGAAGGTCTTGATTTGTTATGTTCAGAATCACTTTTGAGTTTTAACTTTAAACTAAGAAAGAAATCCATGGAAATATGTTTGAAACTTTAAGTGACCTACTTGTAACATTCTTTAGAGTTGTTAAAAGATTTGCAAACCTTTTGATGAGTTTCATCTACTTTCCAGATGTCATCGTAGAAATGAATGTAATATTACCATTTGCTATAAAAACTTCCTGCAGCTCTATTAACAAGTTTCCCATGATGTAATTAGAAAGAAGGTGCAGTATTTTCTTTGGCATCCAGGGGTAAAATGCTGTGCATACTTATACTGCTATAAACTCAGGGCAACTCAGTTCATTTTAATGAAGTTATTTTGGACTTAGTTCATGTGAAATTTGGCTATACCTTTATCTATAGCTAGATATCTTCCCTGAGGAGCAAATATAACAAAGGTTGTACATTTTCTTTAGATTTCATATCGAAAGACACTATTCTCAGTGCCAAGGAGGTTGCTACTATTCTGACAAAGGAAAATGCTGTAAAACCTTTTAGGTCCAGGTTTGGGTAGGTTTTCAGATGTGTCCATAACTTGCTTGAATAAGCTGGAGCATGTGCAAGTGCTGAAATCAGGGCCTTTAAGCCTCTTCACTACACCTCTTATTCCTCTCTATTTGCTAATCTGTTACATGAGGTTCACGATTGAGAACCATTTTGGAGTCTTATGCCACATTTCTGTCACAAAACATTTACCTCCTTCTTATTTGAGCCAACCGAAGTGTCTGGCAGTAACAAGATTGGTGCTTTTGCCAGTTTCTCTGTAACACTGGTGTAGGTAGACGATTTTGGACTTTGATACAAACATAGGCATGTTCATAACTGTTCCTCACAAAACATAAAAACTGCTTTGGACTTGGAATCTGCCTATCATTTCTTACCCAGAGAAGCCTGTAAGAAATGGTCTTTCCAGAAGGCCTCCTTGTTGCCTTCTTTCTTTTTTTCTAAATAAACAAACAAAAAGAAGGAGAACTAGAAGGGGAAAAAATTAAGTTTTAATGGAAACACATTTCATCTTTTGTTTTCTGCTTGCCATAAAACATTAACATAGTAAACAAATTGATCTTTGCTCTTAAATTCTTTAATAACATACAGTATTCTGAGTTTTGTCATGGCTAAGGTATGGTTAAACCACGTTGTATTGCTGGTCACATTCAAACCTCTATTCTCACGGTTCTTTGACATCAAACGATATTTTTTAAAATGAACATTGTGTGTAACCCACTTCTGTTCACAGACACCTTTGTTAAAAGGTCACCCTTTTTTGGGAATGTTTCAATACATTAGTGGTAAAGGTGTTTTCTGACCAAAACTATTTTTTCTTGGGACAAAGTTCAAAGTCCATGCATTTTTGTGGTCAGCTTCTGCTTTTTGCCATACAATACCTTTCTGAATGCTGCACCCACAAACTGGCAAAGCTCTTATAGGATGCTCTGAAACATTATATTCTAGACAGCTAATCCAATCATAGGGCTGTTACCATGGTGTTACAATGCTGACAGAGCTATTTGAATTAGGGGTATGTAAAAAAAGAGAGAAAGTGTCACTTTGGTCCACTTTTCAGAGTGGTCGGTGTTATAATATATAACCTTTTTTTTCTTTTTTAACGCAGTGTAGTTCACAATAATTTAAAATACTCTATAGACATTTAAACGATATACAATAATATAACTTAATTGGATTCCTCAATTGTACTTAACAAATACTATTCTAATATATTTACAGTATCTAGTACCATAAGACTGTGCATTACTGTGCTTGGGAGCTTTATTTGCTTCCTGTCAAGAATGTAGTGAAAGTACAGTATATCACTATTATTCAACAACAATACCCATGAATCAAAGGGACTTTAAGTTATATGTAATGACTCTAGCATTTTTGCGGGCTCCTGTTGATTTCTGTGGAGTTGCAATTGTTCACACCAAGGTTGAATTTGAATTTCTAGCTCTTATTTAGAAACCAACAGCAAGAACGAAAAAATGAGCTCTTCAATATTTGATTGCTCTGTGGAAGACTCATCAAAGGAGCCTGATTTTCAGAGAGTTAGTGCTTGGGGCCAGAAAGGTAGGTTGTCGTGAGTGTTTGAGTGAAGGTTCCCAGGTGATTTGTTACTTTTGATAATATGGGTCCATAGATTATGGAGGTAATCCGGGCTCATTCACATATCCAGCATGGGAGCTGGTGGAGCAGTAGCTCCACCAGACCCCTTGCCCCAAGAGTGCTGTGTGGTGTGGGAAGTACTCCCATGTTAGGGGAAGAGGGCTCATGGCTGTGCAGTCCCTCAGTAAAACTAATAAAATGAAACAAAAGCTCGAAATGCAAATATGCAGACATTAGGACATTTTTAATCCGAGTTTTCATAAAATCAGGTAGGGACCCTTGCTACAAGGAAATATCTACGTGATTAAATGTGCTGTGTTATAATTGGGCATATGTGGTTCTTGGGGTTAAAACCACTGGATTTTACAGTAGCAAAATATATGAGGATTTTTTTTAAAAATCTCTCTTAGGGAAAAGGTGTGTGAGTTAGAATTGAGTGGTGGTGTAAAAAGTCAGCTTCTTTCTTAACATTCATGTATTTACCAGAGGGTATGTCATTGCCAATCTTAGAATAATGACGACACAGACTAACCCAAATTTTATTCTTCTTATGCTTGTGAAGCCTTCACAGCTCACAGGTTGCATCAACCTAGAGCTCAGCTACCATATTTTTATTAACTTCTCAGTTCATGATGAGCATAAGTTATTTAAAACTATTGGTAATATTAACTTTCAACTGTTAAAGGCAAAATGCAATGCTTTGACGGCAAAGCAAAACCTTTGATATTTGTCGAAGCGTGTCTTTGTATCCTAAAACTCTCTATGAGGGGCTGAGGACAGGCGCTCCACGCCTTAAGCCTGAGTCTAGAAAGAGTCATTCTTATACAGGAGGCAAGTGGGAAAAGTCTTTATCAAGCATTTGTAACCACAGTTTTGCATGATCTTTTTGCTCAGTTCTGGTAATTGCTTAAGTTCTACAGTAACTGAACTCTCTAATAGTGAAGTGACAACAGATCAGTAGCATTGAAGAACTTAGGGAGAACCAAATACAAAAATCATAAAGTCAGAGTTCCAATAAGTTTACATTTAGTAGAGAATTAAGACATAGCTACCCGTTAGTGCTTAGAATTTTTTTATACTATTAAAAACATAAATAATTATTTTTAATGTTCATTCAAGGGTTCCAGTGTCACTGGCAGCTGATGTACTTTTTTGAACTTTATTTTTTCCAAACTGATAGTGGAGTATTTCTGCCACAGATTTTCTCTCCCTACCAGTTGTTTCCTCTCTACCTGCTTTCTTAGAAATCTAGGTTTTTGCAGCAAGACTGCTGTGTTCTAGTCAGTGAAGATTTCGCTTCCTTAAAAAAAAGTCTTTATTTGCACAGGGCTTGGTGGTTTTGTTGTAAAATAAGAGAAAGTATCTTTTTCTTTTCAGTTTCATGGGAGCCGCAATGCAATCAGCTTCTCTGATATGTATAACTTAAAACACTTACTAGGAGAACTTGGCAACACCCAGATTGTAGGTTTAAAAAAAAAAAAAAAAAAGAGAAAGTTTCATGTGGTTGTCAACATCACCTTAATCCTGTTGCCCTTGTTTCCAAAGCAGTTACAACAGCCAGCCAGCCAAAATGCACCATCCTTAGAAGTGTAAGTAGTGGGGAGGGAGTGATTGTTGTGGTGTTGGTTGGGTCTTTTTTTTCCTCAAAGAAGATTAGATGTGCAAAATGACGCTGTCATCGTTTGTTGTACTCCACTTTCTTCACTCGTGGTGATTTGTTCTGTTCATTTGCACATGATGCCGTTATTTGCAGGTGAACACCTCTGTCCGCTCACTACACGTGTTGCACTTCACAAAGCAGCACCAGTGGAATTTGCAATTACATTGCCACACCTTGGTGTATTGGTGTGTGTTGTATCCTCTTCCACAGCACATCATGTCACACCCGTCTGCATTGGGAGAGGTACGGTTGCAGAGTCGTCCCTGGGTACCAACGCTCCCCGTGGAAGCATCTTCCTCACAGTAGTTGGGTGACTTTTCAATATACACTAAATCTGTTTCCATGGGTTTCTGGTAACTCTTAATCTGCTTGATCTTCAGGAAGGTTGGTTGTCTTAGTCTACTGGCTCGTACCACCTCCACTTGCACTGCAGCATTGTATTTCTCTTTCAAAATATATCCAATCTCTCTGAATTTAGGAAGTGTGGTCCAGCAGGTCTTAGTTGTACAGGAACCTGAAACCCCGTGACACTTGCACTCCAATTTCATTCTCTCTTCAAGAACCTGTGTGTACAGACATTTGCATATTGTTACTGCAAGAAAACAGTATTGCAGGCTTGCCTAAATCTCAGTCTTTTTAGTACATATGAATATTCATTTTTACAGGTTGAAACTTTTTAAAGGCATGCTTATAAATTTTCTCATCTCTCAGCAGATTGCTCATAATACATTTTGCTTTACATGGCACCTGGTTGGAAACACAGTGTTTTGTTTTATTTAGAAAATATTCCATTCTGTTTTCAAATATTGGAGATTTTCTCAAATTTCAGAAGACATGTCTTTAGAGAAAAAGTAATTCATGGGACTCCAGGGACTTAAAAAAAAAAGTTAAACCATTGTAATTTTGAAAACAGAAAAAATAATGTTTTTATAAAGTGTTTTACAATGCAGAAAATTTAACTTTAATTGCCTTAAGTAATGCTGAAATAATGTTTAAAAAATTTCCACCAGCTTTAATAGCACAGAACAATATATACTGTTTGGCTGAATACTCATTTGTGTTCACTGCATAATTAAATGTTTTGCCTATACTGCAGTGGCAATACCAGCATACCTATTAACTATTTAACCCACAGAACATACCATCCCCTTTAGAAGCAGCACTCCTTGCAGTATCTACCCCAAATATCAAGCAAATGTTCAGCCAGAAATACATTTTTTTGCACCAGAGCAACAATTGCACAATGTTAAAGGAAATAAAATCCACTGAAGGGTCCTGGTCAGCTGTGAGCCAACAACAAGTGGAAGCATTTATTACTGCTATTGCTAGAAGACATTGATCTAGAGCATATTAATCAAGCATCAGATGGTCCCTAAAAGGGGCTCAAACACTGGCAGGTGCTTGAGCTGACACTCTGGTCCTGACCTCCCACCTCCGCTGCAGCATATGCCCAGGAGAACAGCACGCAGATGCCCTCCTGCTCCATGTGCGCAACAGAGGGGAAACTGGCCCCATGGAAGCACCTTTCTGCTTTTCTGCCTTTGTGCTACCACTTAGGCCTGACCACAATTACACCCACAGTCATCATTAGCTTATGAAAATCAAGGCCCAAGAACAAAGCAAACTGATCCTTCCCCTTTGCAATGGGATGCTAACAAAGAAATATGAGCTACTGAGCTTGTCTGAAAGCATTACTGATGCTGCAGACCATCTCCTGTAGTGGTTTCATTGCAGATCCCAGAACATGACTGAAATGGGCAAAGGATAAAAGGGCCGAAATCTGAGTACAATGGCATAATGAAGTAGAAGGGAAGTAAAAAATGCTTACTGCTTAAGAAACTGGCCTTAAAATAAAAGCTGTACAGATCTGGTTATCCCGGCAAATAGAGGGCACCCTCCTGAGTTGTTTGAGTTTCACTTAAATTGCATGGTTTATTTTTTCCCGAATTTCTGGGGTTTCAATATTAAAGAGAATATTTGGTTTTAACTCTCCCTTGCCAACATACAGTAGCAAGTACAAGATAGCTGAGCATCCTATTCAGAAATAGGTTATACCTGGAACGTTATTCTGAAACCACAAGCTTTTTCCAGGTCAAGGTCAAGTTAGCCTTTCAGAGGCAGAACAGGTGATTTCTAGAAATGTGAACTGGGTTAGGGAAGAAGCTCCTATACCTGCAACTGCTCTAAAAAGAAGATCAGCAAGGCTGAGATGAGCTGCTTTTTAAAGCACTGTGAAGACCACTGCTTTACAACAAGCTGTGTCACTTTCCTGTCTTCCCTACAGAAAAAAAAAGAGAAGCCAGGAAACTTCTGGAAATGCCTTCTGCTGCAGCATTGGCATTTCAGTGGCAGTGAGTAGAGGAATGTCTTATGAAACACTCCAGGTTCTTTCAGGATTCCTCTGTCCATACTTCATGCCTGTGCAGAAGGACGTGATTTTTTTCAAAAGACCCCCACACAAGATTCCAATTCTGTTGCACAAATCTGGAAAATAATCTATTGGTATTTTGATATGCATGTAGATATGTGTAAAAGTGCTTATAAGTTTTGCTTGATATTGCTGAAATACTTTTTTTTAAAAAAACTGGTCTGTTTCTACAGCTCTCTGAGCAACACATCAACATGCAGTTGCAGGAACAAGAATTGCAGCAAAAAGCACGACACAAGGTGGATGGAGAAACCTTCTCTACACCTTCACCAAAGAGCATCAAGATCTACGGGCTTCTAGGAAAGCCAATGGGATGGATCTGCCACATCTGATTCGTGCTCATCTTCTCTCTAAGTAGTAAATCTTGGTGAAGAGCAGGTTTGTGGTTTAATATGTGTTTTCTGCATTTGTATGTAATGCTTGTTTTTAGTTTGCAAAAGCAAAGTCAGTAACTTGCTCAGAGAGCAGAAGGAAGTGAAGCGTGTGAGGCTCCTTATTCCTGGGCTCAACACTCTGGATGCTGTTCCAAGGCTTCTCTGACTCTCTGGTGGATGTGCTTCCCTGATATAACAGAAAGTGTCATTGTTTCTGAAAAAAACAAGATATCGCCAATTCTGGTGTCCTAGGTGATATCTTTGTCTATGTATATTTATATATGGATGTGTGTACATATATATGTTTGTTTGTGTGTTTGCCTTTGGTTGAGACACTGCCATTTATACACAGCACTGTCTGTCACCTTCTGTGGTACAATCTCCAGCAACTTTATCCTAAGTCTTGATTTCTTTTTTTGTTTTTCTTCTGAAGGTCCAGTTTCATGAGTGATTTTGCTGTGCAGAAACCTGATTTCACTACTGTATTTTTTCAGAAGTTCTCACTGTTTGTGATGGTGGAAGAACTTGCAAATGCAAGCCATGCAGGCTCAAAAAAGCAGAAGTTTCAAAAAGTATTAATTCATGATCCTGAAGCCAACCTCACAGGTTTTTTTATTTTTTTGGAGGCTTCTCTCATGGATGTGGAATGTTTGGGGTTACAACACTGAGCGCAGGCCCAATCATCAGGTAGTTAAATTCCTGAATGCTATAATTTGTGTGCCCACAGTCAGCTGTGGGTATAAAATTGTGCCCAAAAACTTGAAGGTCAGGGAATACAAGGCCCAAACTAAGCAGATTCTAAGTAAGATTTTTTTTTTTCTCTTTCCACCCAAATGCTGCAGAGCGTTTCTCTTTGCTGACAAGCCAACGCGCTCCAGCATGCCATACAGAGGTACGTCTGCCTGTGTGGTATCTCCAGGAGCTTCCCACTTGCCAGCAAGGTGCCACTGGACCTGGCAAAGATGGGCAGGATTTGACCCTGTTTGCTCAATGCTATGATGGAAGAGCTACTAAAGATTTTCTTCCTAAATGTCCCTCCAGCTCAGTTTTCCTCAGCAAAATTCCCATCAAAGCTTTGACCCTAGGCCTTAGAGGTACTTATTTACTCAGATCTAATACACTATGCCAAGCTAGGTGCCTGATTAAAGGTTGAAAATCATTAGCTCATACAACCCTCTCTCTCAGCAGTTTCATTTGTCACATGTCAGTGCCTCGTATCTAATCTTGAATGGTTTACAGCAAGATCTACCTCCCAAAGCAAATTCCCATCATTGGACTGTGCTGCCTCAGACTAATTGTAGGAACATTCCTTAGGTCCCTTTTCCACACACAGACCCACTTTCACCCCAGCATCATCTTGCCAAGTAAAATTTTCTAACTACTGCTACTTTGTGAAATGAATTGTGAAATATAACGTTAAAGCTTTCATATCCCACATCTTTTTATACCTATATAAATCATACACTGAAAATGCAATTTGAGGGTTGTCCGCTGCCAGTTAAGTAGAAGAAGACTTGTGAAGACTGAAATAAAACAAAATGATACGCATGAAAAGGAATTCATTTTTTCAAGTTCCATATCTAGACCCAATTGCATAACATCAGATACAGTTTCTGTACATATTAAAAATCCTATCTGGGTAAAATATGTAAAAACAATAGTAACTTTTTGTGTGTGTTTGTTTTGGCTTGCCTTTTCTGGTTTGTGTTTTCCTTAGTGGAAATGCACATTTTTGGACCAGATGTTGAATGTAACAAAATCCATATTACTTTTTGACTGCAGTATCAAAAAGAAATAGAAGGCTTTAGGAGCTTTGCCCCGTCAAATATGCAAGTGATCAACTTTTGTTTTGGGTAATATCAGTACCAAAAGAGGTGGATCCTGGTTGTCAGATGTCACCACCCCTTTGATACTCAAGTGGCTGCAGCCACAAAAGCTGATGGCTTGTCAATGATGGGTGGGCACTGCCTAACCTTAGTCTCAGTGCAGCCTGGGGTCCACCACTGCTAACAAAGTGCTGATCTCATGGACCCATCTGGGAGACAAGTTTGGATTCGTTTGGCCTTGGTTTTTTTTAACTCAGATAGCTAGCGGTGCAACTAACAAGGGTGTTATGCTACCCGTCTAATACAAATGTCCTGAAAATATTCTTCATTAATAGCGTATCACAGGTGTCAAAACTGAGCAGTTCATGCCAAATCTCCTTGCGTTGTGCTCAGCCATGTGAAGAGAAGATGCGGAGAGGAATACAGATGCTTCAGCTGCATACTTTTCATTCTGTTCCTGTATGAGGCTCCTCTATGGAGCATCAAAGCAGTATTTATACTCTGTGGGATAGGACATAAGGAACTGAATTACTGTGCTTACTCCCTCTCTTATCACATCCCTATTTTCCTTGCTTAGTTTGATGGGAGCAAGGAGTCTCTGCTTTGCATCAGGTCCATCTCCAGCTATGACTTGAGGTGGCTTTTCCCTGGAACTAGCAGGGGAAGGGCCAGGGACCCTCTGAGGTGCTGGGAGGTGTCAAATAACCTAGGTAAGGCACCCACTCCCATGGTATCCGCACTGAATGCATTATAAAAGAAGTAAGAAGGACCCCTGCTCTTCTTACCAAAGTTCTCCTCTTGGCTAGCAGGAAAATAAGCCTGGAATTTTGGTACCTACTGCCCATCAGATGAAAGTCCCTAGTATTTTGAGGACAGGCTATAGAGCCTAACACATCTTTGCCTCTTCCCTACCTTTTAGAAGAAGAGAAAACAGC